GATTAAAGAAATCCGGTGTACTTTTTCGGTGGGCAGGGATGCTTGGAGTGAAACGGAGTTGAGGGTAATGCCGAGGAATTCCAGGGATGTGCTGGGGCCCTGAGTTTTCTCCGGGGAGAGAGGGACTCCGAGCTCGTTGAAAGCAGAGATCAGGGTATTGAGACCGTGTGGCGGGGGAGAATAGGATGGCGTGACTATAAGGAAGTCGTCGAGGAGGTGAACGATGTAGGGGAGTCTGTATTTGTTCAGCCAGATCCAGCAGAGTGCTTCGGATAATGTATCCAATATTTTTGGGCTGCTTTTGCAGCCAAAGGTGAGGCGCACGGCGAAGTAGTATGCGCCCTTCCACTGAACGCCGAAGAGATGCAAGAAGTCTGGGCGGATGGGAAGGACTTTGAATGCGCTGGTGATGTCTGCTTTAGCCAACCATGCTCCTTGGCCGGCTGTGCTGATGAGGGAGATGGCGTGATCTATTGTTGCGTAGTGCATGGAAAAGTCTGGGCTGGGGATTAAGCTGTTGATGCTTGGGACTGGAGAGCTGTGGGGGGATAAGAGGTCTATGATGAGTGTCTTTTTTCCTGAATATTTCCTGGTGGCGATGCCGATTGGGCTGATTCTAAATGGACTGAACGGTGGAATGGAGAATGGACCGATCATGCAATCTATTCTTTGGTTTCTTGGCCAAAGTTTGCGACTATGTCGGGCTGGAAGTGGCAGACTTGCAGCGTTGTGGCATGTGTGAGAGGAATCTTTTGGTATGACTGTAAACCTGTGGTTGAATCCGTTTTTGAATCCTTGGATGAGGTAATTAACGAACTGGCGGTCAGGATGATTTTTTAAAGCAGCAGTGAGAGCGTTGATGTTGATGGGTGTGTTCAGATACTTACACAGGCCGTGTTGGGTGGGATTATGCGGACAGGTGGATCTGGCATGGGCTCCGCCGCAGAAAGAGCAGGTATGGAGGAAGCGGCAGCTTGAAACTTTACAACCAAGGTCATTGAAATTGTTGCAGACCATCCTCCCGCCCTGGTATAGGACTGGTCTGCCTCTTTTGTCAACACCCTTAGGAAGAGGGCCGAGGGCGATTGGTCGGATGTTGACTGGTTTGGGGGTGATGGTTGGAGGAGGGGCTGTTGGTGGCATGCTGTGGAAAACGGCAGGGTTGTGGTTAGTATGATATGAGGTTCGGGGCAAAGAAGCGGTGAGGGTGCAAGTTGTGGTGGGATGTGATGGGGCGCCGCACAGGTCGCAATTAAGCGAAGCGCGAGCTGAAAAGACACAGCAATAGAGCTCTGTATCCAGTGTGCCCCAGTAAGTTCCTTGGTTGAATTGATGAAGACGACCGGCAGCTTGGGAAGCGAACAGGATATGGTAGGTGTAGAAACCATTGCCTCCGAACCGCAAGGCCAGGTTGAGGACCAGAGACATATAGTCGTCCAGCTCTTGCCTGCGGTCGGGGAAAGATGAACAGATGATGTCGTGGTACAGGGAGAATGAGAGGGTGAACTCTACTGCGGTGAGTTCTTTGGAGCGGGTAGACAGGGGTTGCTTGAGTTCGATTGGACCGAGTGCGGTTTGTAGTTCTCTGGGGATATGAGGGTTGCAAGTGGACGGATGTATTAAGTGGGCGAGATCAACGTAGTTACCAGCAAGAATCTGTTGTCGGAGAGTGGCTGACACTGGAGATGGAAACGACTGCACGCACTGGAGGTAATGCTGTGGCTAGAGTGAAGTTATTATGCGTAGGGGGATAGGTGGGGAAAATCCAGGATCCGGTTATGGGGGGAGCTGTGGAAAAAGCAGGTGCGTTAGTTGGAGGACAAGGAACACAAGTTACATATGGGTGATGGGGAGGGTAGGGGTAGGGTTGGGGGAGGGGAGGG